CGCCTGAGGCTCTCTACAGAGCGCTCGGGCGGCTGCAGCATGGGGGGGCCGCCCCTGAGCGCGCCCCCCCAGATTGCTAAAAATATTGTCAGCGCTTAGAAGATACTCCCCTTAAGATTGTAACAAGGGTGCATATATATAAAAATAAACATCTGAACTCTACACAAAAGAGCTATATAAAGAAAAAATACAGATAAAAGTATATGTGAAAATATATAAAAATATGTAAAAATATAGGAATATGTCTCTAGAGAGTCCAAAAAAGTCATATAAGATCAAAAAGGGGGAGAATCCAATGTCTGTATTGATGAATGGAGACTCAAATAGGTGCTTGAAAATTCCTAAGGCAAAAACGGAGAAAGAGATATAGTATAACTCTGTAACATTTATTGCCCCGGTTTAACAAACAAACCCCCCCTAAATAAGAACTCTCACAATGTAAAAAAAGTGTAAAACAATGGTACTTATTCCTAAGGACCAAATCGAAGAAACTTAGCGGCTGCTGATTGTCCCGACAAGCTATCTGTTTCTTCAAGGCAGACAGCGTCCACCTCGTGCACTCTGGTGGGCTGTCCGAAGATATAACCGTGAGGGAACAGCTGCAAATAGATAAAACGACTTCTTCTTCAAAGTCAGTCTGCAGGGGATATGTGGCAAAGTCCCCCTAGCACCTTATCAACGCGTTTCGTCCTACTACTGAGGACTTTTTCAAGATAGGTGCTAAATCCATTGCTGGCGGTTTTATACCTTAGCGGGCAAAACGGATTCAAATTCTTTAAAGGCATATACTCACAATTCCAACATATGTATTAAATTAATCCTCTCAACTTTGTTTAACATGTAAAATTATAAAATTACAAGGCATTCCAATCCAAATGTACAAAACAGTTTCTTAATGACATATTAATTAAAACAAAGAATGTTAAAATATATATAAGAATAACATAAAAATATAAAAATATTAAAATGTTTCTCTATAATTCAGAATTATAAAACAGCATCTACATGGCACAGGTATTATAAGGTTCATTATTTAATAACCCAAAATGATAAACCTTTCCACTGCTCATTTAGATGTGAAAACTTGTAGCCTGGAAATTATCACATATATTCTATCATACAATGTCCAGATTCCTAACTAATGTAACAAGTAACAACTCTAATGAAAAGATAAACATTTCCTATTCTAAGTTATAAAATTGTATATTCTAGTATAACATGGGAAAATATATTTAAAGGTTATTCTTATTATCTATAGAAATACAGTTTTATTATTATAGTTAACAGATTGTGTCTTTAGCATACCACAATACAGACTAGTATGATTATAACCCGTACACACAGGGCTAAAAATCCATATATTAAGTCTAACAGCTATTACTCTATAAAATATTAGCTAACTCTAATTCTGCATTTAGACCTAGAGGGGTAAGTGTTTTTAGGCTATATATCCAGAACATCTCCCTATAAGTTAGGGCTTTACTCAATTCACCTCCTCTCCACGGTACTTGTACTTTTTGAATACCACAATATTTTAGGAGTGTCGGATCACTGTTGTGGTATATTTTAAAATGACTGGATAGGGAATGTTTTTCAAAACCTCTTTTGATATTGTAGACATGCTCTCTGAGTCTAATTTTTAATATCCTCTTAGTTTGACCCACATATTGGAGGCCACACGGGCACTCCAACATGTAGATAACTTGTTTCGTATTGCACGTAATACAGTCTTTAATATCAAATATTTCCTTTATGACCGAAGACTGGAAGGTTGTGCAATTTTTTCCTTTAGAGCTTAATTTACATATGTTGCAATTTCCACACTTATAGTATCCCTTCTTTCCAGTTAAAAAATGATTACCCTTCATTGGTTTAATATAACTGTGCACTAATTTGTCTCGTAAAGTAGGTGCTCCCCTAAAAATTACCTTTGGTTGTATGGGTAAAAATGAAGCCAATATCGGGTCCTGACGTAATAAATGCCAGTGTTTCTGTACACTCCTCTTTAGACCATTTGCTTGCGCACTATAGTTAAAAACCAAAGGACATATGTCTCCAATGCCCTTATTGGGTTTAACTTTGTTCAAAAGTGTTGCACGTTCTACAGTTTTTACTTTTTGAAGAGCTGTATCTAGTAGTTCTTCATCATAGCTTTTCTCTGTAAACTGCTGTTTCACCTTCTGGAGTTGTACATCACATACCTCAGGGTCTGTGCAATTCTTTTTGACTCTTAAGAATTGACTAAACGGGACACCTGATAGCCACGAAAGATAATGGCAGCTGGAAGTCCATATATAGCTATTTACATCCACACTTTTAAAAAAAGTTTTAGATTTTAAGATTTTTTGGTCCGTATATAGGACCAAATCTAAAAAATCTATGTTCGTAGAGCTATATTTATACGT